ATGTGTAACAATAAATCAGCGCTAACAATGAATTCTCAGTCAAGTAAAGGATAAGCGCGCCCATGACTTCTGAAAGGCACTCTGAATATTTCTGCTGGAGCGGCACCATAATCGGCAATGAGAGAAAAGAGCAAGTCCACATGAAAGTGTTTAGTCTTTCTCTCTCTCTCTCTTTCCCCTTTTTAACTCTCATCAGACAAAAAGCTTTTCCATGTAGCGGCTCAATTGCTGCAGCTCACGACCCTCTCAGAGGAGGAGGAGGTAAGTGTCCGCCTGATGAAAATGCCCTTCTGGCCCACCTGTAATTTCGTTCAGTGCTGCTTTCTCCCCTTGCGGTTGCGATATCAAATCTAGCGGTCGAGCCAGAAAATAACTCTTTCACCCTGTCACCCAATATGACTTCCTCTACACACACGCTGACCCCAGAAAACCTAGACGACTCCAAATTGTGAGAACTTTTTGTCTGACAGCTGGTGATGTTAAAATTAGAAGTGACCTAGCTGAAGCTAGCACCTTTTGCTCACGGCTTAACTTGTAGAGGTTTAAGATGGGAAAAAAATTGGCCATCATACACTTCCGCTTGCCAGCCACAACTTAGGTATCCGAGAGGGGTGGAGCTGACTGAGGAACCCAGTGATACTGCGCATACATATGCTAGCTACTTGCCAATCATACCAAAAGCCATACTTTCGGTTTATTAGTAATGTGGACAGTAACTGACACTAATAGGAGCAGTAATTTACAAAGTGAATATGTTGTATTGAATAAAACCTGAAACTAGTGATTGAGCCCATTATATCATTAGAAAAGTCTTTTAACCAGATGTGTTTTGCGAAGGGGTTGCCCCCTGCTGGGTGACAGAAAGAAGTTTTCACACTGGCTTCCCTTTTTAGCCATGGAAATCTTTTACATACTGCGCAGTCTATGCCAGCACACTTGAGTATAGCTACTACCCCCATCGGTCTCTCCCACTCACCTCTTAGCTCACCAAGTTCCACCCTTTGTCAACAGAGCACAGGCATGCTCACGAAAACGAAAAATATGCTAAACTCAAAGAGGACTTCCAATAATGACTGTTTAAAGAGTTTTAAAATGCACGAGTCGAGTGTGGTTTGTCTGTGTGTGTGTTTTGGTTTTTTTTTAAAATGTGCAAGAAGTAGAGTAGTACTCACATGCCAAATGTTGGTATGTCTTGGCAGCTCAGCTTATTGGACTGTAACAACATATGGCATGCCAAACAGACTTGTAGCTACTGTATGTAAGAAACTTTTCCAAAAAAAGGAGTTATAAATAAACAAAAACAGCTGGTGTTTACCTGCAGTACTTTATAGTCAGAGAATTCATTCAAGTCTAACTTAAATGCCTTCGACTCTGTTCAACCTGTGACTGAGGTTAAAGCGCAAAGATTGAAAACTTAAAAGCACCAGAGGTCATTTTTGGGCGTCCAATAATAGAAAACCTTTCTCTGGCCAGAATAATAGCTTTGTGACATCCAAGCCCCCCCTGTGGACTTCTAGAGGCAAACACACATGGGCTAAATGTCACTCAGCAGGGTCCTGTCATTTAAGAGAAATCAGATTTTCCTTCAGAATACACAAACTTGGGCCTGGCTGTGGTACATACTTTCTATCTGAACTTTCTTGAAAATTGTAGTCTCAAGGGAAATACAAATAAGAAATACATCCATAACCTGCTTCTTTATCTTTTTTGGGGTTTTCTTTGGTATAAGTATAAACTGCAGCCAACTGTTCAGGCCCCAAGGGGCGTTTGTTTTGACGTTTGCAAGCAGCAACGTGATGACATTTATCATGAATAGGGAGGGTGGTCTTGTGTGATGCAAAAATGGATATGGTGAGGGAAAATGCAATAAAAATAAACTGACAGATGGGATCCAATCTAGAAGAAACCCACAGCTTTACATACATGTTTGCTGACCTGAATTTTGAAAACTAAACAAGAGAGTTCACCTTAAAGCGCTTAAAGATCAGAGACTAGATCTCCTGCAGAAAAAACTTTACAGACTTAAAGGTCACCAGGAAGTGTCCTCTCTGCTAATCAAACAACCCTAATGGCAAGGTTTGATCTTTTACAATCTGCTGAGGCCAGTTGGGCAAATGAACACTGGGCTTCCTCAGCTTCCGCAGGGCAGCTTGCACCTGTCTGTCACTCAACAGTCACAGTCAGAGGTAAACATTCAGCTAAGTCTACAGTGATCTCGTCTCCTCTGTGTAATCTGTTACATTTACCTAAAATGTGTCATGCTACAGATGTCAAGGCCCCTTAGTTGAAATGCCCGATTATAGATCGTGAGGAAAAAAAGCCACAACCATCAAACTCAGTCACTCAGAAAACCAAATGTCTTGTCATGTACTTTAAACATTAACCAGCTTTGTAACCTTTGTGCTCTGACATACTCTGTGTTTGTACTGTAGAGCTAATTGAACAGAAGCCCTCATGTATGATTTATGTGTTTATTTTTTTGGCCTTGGGCTTATCAAATATAATTCAGCGATCAATTTTTTGGTCTTTTAACTTTTAACTTGTGGTCCGCATGTTTGTGTATTTTCGTGTCCATGTTTTTAATTTTTTGGATTGTTTATTTGTCTTTTAGTTCTTCTTCTGTACATTTTATAAAAAGGCTTTGGAGAGCTATACGGCACGAGCAACTGAATCTTCAAGCAGCAGGTATCAATCTGCTAAACTGAGATTCAGAAAGTTAAATTAAAATTGCAAAACACTGCAGGCATCCTGCAGCTGAGCCTTCTTTTTTGCATAATCCATGCCTCAACTGTCTCAATTTATCCACTTCAACTTCAGCCACATTTACACTTAATAATGTAGTCAGGTTTAATTAGGAACAGCAAACTGGATTGTTCATTTGGATTCATATGCACAACCACTAATTGATTGATTGATTGATTGATTGATTGATTTTTTTGGAGAGGTTCACGTTTGAAATTGGCAGATTTACTCTTTGCTGGCTTTTATTAAACAAGACTGCAAATAGAAAACAGCTGGAAATAGCAGCTCAAGATACATGTAAATGTAGGATCTTTATACGACAAATAAATACACAGAAGCACTCACTTTTATTTAAGCTATTCCTTGCTCTTACTCCCCAGTAAAACTGCTCTCAGATGGCCTGGAAATAAGCTTTAATGCGCTCCCTGAAAAGGCTGAAATAGAAAACACACATCTGCCCTGTTTAGGTAAGCTGCAGTTGCCATGGTTACAGACGAGCACTTGCTAAACAGTTGTGTCAAGCCATCATTGAGACAGAGCACTTGAGCTGTACACACACACACACACACACACACACAAGCAGAGGGAAGCGTTGGTGTTTTAAAGTGAAAAACAAGGAAACAGAGAACGGGGAGATGTTGTTAGCAAAATGCTGCTGTCAACATACACCACCACTAGTCTCTGCACTCGGTCCACTCTGGGGACAATTTGAGTTTCATAATGTTTGACGGAAGATGAACAAAATGTGCCCCTTGTTGCTCCAGCCGGGAGCAAAAAAACGTGATTTTATCAGCTGTCACACACTCACACAGACTGTATGTAAAAGAGGGATAAAGCCACCGTGACATCATCCACTTGTTCGTGAAGTCCCATTTTGACACCACTAATATTGCAGGCATTTACGTCTTAAACAATTATAAACAGGTGATTTGTAAGAGGGAGGGAGGTAATTTCAAGGCTGTAGCCGTATATTTGAACATGGGAGTCTATAGGAATGACTTGCTTGTGGACCCAGCCTCAAGTCTCAATTCTAAGTAGTTCTTCTTGGGTTCTTCTGATTTAGCATCTTTTTCCAGATGTTGCCACTTGATGGGCGTGTACATCAACTCAAATCCAGGGTCTATATTTTTATTTAGATTTAAAGGAACATTTTCTTGTAAGCACGACACATTTGAAGCACACTTTAAAACAAAAAGACTCGACAAAGTGTTCTGAATCAACTGAAATATTTGTGAATAAGTGAACAACTTCAGATAAGTGTCCAAATAAAGATGTATTCCATCTTCTTAGCCTTCCAACATGATCAGCAGTTTAGTTTTAGCCCACAAATATGAACTAGGCGGATCATTAATATTCCACATAACAGTTTAGTGTACAGCTCGCCCGGCGTTCAAGATTAACAACCTCCACACGTCGAGCCAACTGGAGATGCTGCATCGCATTTAAGGGGGTAGTTGAAAGTGGGATCAAGCCCGAAGCACTGCGTCAGGCTCTGGCACAGTGCTCCCACTCATATCATCTCATTTCATCACTCCACAGTCGCAGTACTTTAAATGCTGAACATTTACAGCCAAATCATTATACAGTGTTGAGAAATAATAAGAATAAACCTATAAAAAACACCACAGCAAAAATATCCCTGATTGGATATTGTGTGGCAACATAGTTCAGTACACAAGATGATAACAGGTGTTTAAGGGATGTGTTCTCCATCTAACCCTGTGAGCAGACACACCAGGCACCATTGCATGACCAAAAGCTATTGTAAAATTGCACATGTCCCTCCCTCCTTCCTTTCTTTGGCATCTGTTTCTCTCTGCTGTCCGAGGTTATTATGGGGTGTATGACCTTAATACATGCCTTAAATCTCTCTGCTTTGTTGCCCAGGCTTTGTTTGGATGTGTAAGCCTCACTGTCTGAGAGAAAACCTACCAGGAGATACACCCAATGATACGTTTATGGGTTTGACAAGCAAAAATAAAAGCAAGGAATATTCACACATGCCCAGTTTGTGCCTGGTCTGACGCAGGCTCCTCTGGCTTGTCCTATAATAACAAATGTTTTTCACAAGACAAAAATACTACAAGGGAGCTCAACCAAGTGAATTGCTGTCATCAGTAAGTCTGGGAATGATTATGATGGGCTGTCACGCTTCATCTCACCGACATCTTAACCAGCGGCCTGCTACGTGTAAGCCTAAGTAGCTGAAGATGTCAATCAAAAACTGAACAAAGGATGATGGCTGAGAATGAGCTTACCAGGACTCTTCCTGTCAGCGTCTGAGCAGATATCATGACTCCGGCCCAATCTTTGACCGAGGTCATCCAGCCCACCTCGCTGGCCGCGGCATCATCCTTGTCTGTGCGTTTAATACCATCGCCTGTGGTGATCCGATGGACCTCCTGAAGAAATAAAAAGACAAAAACAAACCCCAGTATTGGTTATCAATTGTTGCAATACAGTAATTGAGCCCTTGAGCCCTGTAGGTCAATGCTCTGACCTATAACAAGTGTAGCTTTGGACTCTTTTGGGTGTCAATCAGGAAAAGAAAACACATATATGTCAATGGAAAACCAAGGACACTGCGTGCTCATAAGGTAGCCACACATTTAAGCATACCCTGCTGTTTATTTTACAATAATTGTGACAATAATTTGCATATTAACTTATGCTGTTTGAGTTGAGAAGAAAGAATCCAGTGATTAGATTTACAGAGCCAGTAAATCAGCTGAGAAGTTATTTTTCTTACACTTGTAAAATCAAACTTTTTGCAACTAGAGGGGTCACATCCTGCTGGGCTTTAAAATACCAGGAGGCTACATCCAACTTTGATATACAATTTCTAGCTGCTGCCATTAATTAGATTAACTGTAAAATCTGTAAAAAAAAATAAATAAATAAATAATACAAAAGCACAGAGAAAACCCCAACAATCAGATGACCTCACAGGAGCAAGCACTTGGCAACAGTAGGAAGGAAAAACTCATTTTTAACAGGAAGAAGCCTCTATGGAAACCAAACCACACCAATGCATCGTGTGTTGTGATGGCAAGTTTTTACAATATACACTGATTATTAATAGGATAACATTAGATATTATGTTAACATTAACTCTTACCACCTACACAGAGCCCTGAAATTTATTAACAGAATTTGGTTACAAAAAGTAAAATACATCATTTCTAATCTAGGGACAAGGTGCGAGGCCTTCAGAACAAAGCTAAGCACACATGCATACAGTAAACATACACAGACAGCAGTAAAGAGACTCCAGGAGTGTATCCATGGCAGCCACTGAGCTCCTGGTGTTTCTGCTTCACTGAGTGGGCTGCCTGCCTGCCTGCCTGCCTGCCTGCCTGTCTGTCTTTCTGCCTGCCTGTCCATCTGTCTGTTTGTCTGCTGGGACTGGCATGATTCACAGAGCAGGAAATCGAGACAGGATGCAGAGGTTAGCCATGCTCCCTGATGAAACACCCCACAGCCCTGAGGCCAACACAGCTCAGACTCTTTACCTCATGACATCCTACTCCTCTTCCACCTTAATGGTGTCACACATCGCACTCTCTGAGGCCCGTTCCCTTCAGCTGTTCTCATCAAATTCAATTTGCTGATGCCGCGCATGTACGGGAGTTGAGGAGAGTTAACTATTCATTTTTCTTGTGGGCAAATGGGCACGACATTTTTACATTACAGTTAAAAAACTAAGTGGAAACTGTCTGCTATTATTTAAGATTCACATAATCTTAAAAAGAGAAAAAGAGAACGAAAAATATATTGTTATGAGCAGCAGAGTCTCTAGGTTTGAGGTATGTGGATAAAAATAAGTAATTAAATGGTTAAAGCCAATCATTAATACTCTACATGTATCAGCTTAGAGCTGCACACTTCTCAAATCAACAAATGACTACCTCATTAAGGGCCTTTTTTTTTTTAATAAGAGTTTTCAAATCACACCTTATGACTCAAGCATTTGACTAAAAATAAACCACAAAGTCCCTGCTCAGCGTACTGATGAGGCATGTCTCTTCAGGGGATAAAATCCACTGACATTTTTTAAATTGGCCACAAATCCCGAGTAAAGACCAAAACTAACAATGAGCTCATTCCATTAACAAGTATGCTGTGTACCTTCCTGACGTCAAGCTTCACTGGTGGTCCAGTAACACAGAAAACGAGGCGCACGACAAGTAGGTGCACACCCCGCCACCGTTATGATCACCACTGCACTGCTGCCATAAATACTCAGCGGAGCACGGATGTATATTAATCAACGATTGGAAATAGTCCCAAACAGCCATTCTGTAAATTCAATTTGAGTAATGTTGCCTGGGGATAAAACCCCAGCTGCAATTACTGAGGCCTTTTTAAAAACTTGCGCTTTATTATGCTCGTTAAAGATTTACGTCCTTAGAATTCAGTCATCGTGAGTCAGTGTCGCAGAGAGGGTAGGATATTAATCAAGAATCATTTAGGCTTTGTTGTTTGTCTTTTGTTTGGATTGATTGAAAATGTAAAAGAGTGAGTTACCCTGACTTATCCTTTAACAGAATAAATTGGAGGTCTTCAGCATATACGCAGGCAATTCTTGCAGGAGATGATACAACTGGCTAGGGCTGCACGATTAATCGTTAGAAAATCGCGATCTCGATTCATACTTATGTGCGATCTCATTTCCAAATGACAACGATTTAAAAAAAAAAAAAAAAAAAAAAAAAACGACGACGATTGTACCGCATTTTGATCCGGGACGTAATCTGCATGAAAACAAGCGCTCACTCTTCCTGCTCAACAAATGACAAGGGCGGAGCCTTATACCACGTGATACAGAAGCTGTGCCGTGTGATGCTAAAATTAGCAGGGAAAAAACAACGGAGAGCACGTCAGGGATGACGAGAAAGTGACAGGAGAAAATCCGTCCCGGTCAACCACCCAAACATCAATAACGGGAACCTTATACAGCGCTTCCCTATACCCGTCGAACTCCCGCAGGCACAAAGAAATTACGGAGGCTATCACTTATCACCTGACCAAAGATATGGCTCCCATCAACACTGTGCAAAACGAGGGATTTAGGAAAATGATCAACACCCTAGACAAACGCTACACAGTGCCGTCCCGCAACTATTTTTCTATTGTTGCACTACCTGCTCTATACACGCAGTCGTCGAGCAACGGTGGAGACGGAATTTCAAGCAGTACAACATTTTGCGGCAACAACAAAACGTGAGACATTTGTTGTTTTTATGTTTATTTATTGTTTTTATGTTCAGTCTCAACTGTTACGAAGTTGATGTGCAGTTATAATAATAATAATAATGGATTGGATTTATATAGCGCTTTTCAAGGCACCCAAAGCGCTTTACAATACCACTATTCATTCACTCTCACATTCAACACTGGTGGAGGCAGCTACAGTTGTAGCCACAGCTGCCCTGGGGCAGACTGACAGAAGCGAGGCTGCCATATCGCGCCATCGGCCCCTCTGGCCAACACCAGTAGGCGGTAGGTAAAGTGTCTTGAGGGTAAAGTGTCTTGCCCAAGGACACAACGACTAGGACAGAGAGCCCCGGGATCGAACCGGCGACCTTCCGGTTACAGATGCGATTCCCAACCCCCTGAACAACTCTAAAATGACATCCTGTACTTGTGTACAACTTAGCTTAGAGAATAACTTCACAAGGCAACTAATTAAAGTTAAAGTTAAAGTTATTAAACCAGTTAATAAGTGCAATAAATATTTATACTGGAAAAGAAAATCGTGAGAGAATCGTGATCTCAATTCTAAGCCAAAAAAATCGTGATTCTCATTTTATGCAAAATCGTGCAGCACTACAACTGGCCCTGTCCTTCACATTGAAATCTGTGGCGGTCATCAAAGTAACAAAGCATTTATTTTTGTAAAAACAGTCACTATAAACATTTAATATACTTTTTTTTTTTCATTTTAAATGGCAATTCATTAGTAAATCACTGTTTTCTGTTATGAACACCTACTAAAGAAGTGAAAACAGCCTATGTGATAGTTCCTGGTATAGGAGGTGTCATTGGGCCCACGTAACTGTGAGATACTGAGGAAAAGGGAGAAATAAGTAGCACAAGTGCCCCTAGAAATAAATCTCAAGCAAGTTAAGTCATAAAAAAATAACCAAAAAGTCAAGTACTGATACTTCAAACATCTGCAGTGTATTAATTTTGTTAACGTGTACAGTTTACATAATTTCTGCCTATATTCAGATCACACATTTCAATCATCCTTCTTATCGTAACTGAATAGTTTGCTCAACAAAGAAATTCAATCATGTACACAGCCATTAAACCGCCGTCAGCCCATGTTAGACTTCCTGCAGCCTGTCCAGAGCCCTGCAGCTAACCTGATAACGCCACAACAACATGTCCACTTCACTTAGCAGCTAATGCAGCCAGCAACCAATTCTGTGAAACTCCAGTTTAGAAATTTCAGCCAACAGGTATCAGCTGTTTTCATACAGATACAGAGTCTCATTCTGCTCTATCTGTGGACCGTTTCTTACAGAGGCGCTTCTGCAGCAGGGTCTTGCATTGTAAGCCAAGCTTCCAACACTTTCCAAGGTTACATCATTTATTTAAAAAAAAATCTTATCAGATTGGTCTTGATACAGAGACTTTAGGGGAATTTAAGTTGAATCTCACTTCTGAATCGCCTTAAGGAGATCACGGTGAGTGGATAAGACTTGGGTAAGGGACTGAAAGGGAAAAGAAAAAGCTGTTTCACTTGTCAGTCAGCAGCCTCTTCAATTAGTGTTACAGTAAAGTGTTAAGCAACAAAGCTATGGAGATCTAAGGCCATGGCAGTAAACTGAAAAATGGGGTGTAGTCTAAATTGTTTGGCTAGGAAATGCTAAAACACCCAGGTATCCCTGACTGCAACCTGTGATTTATTAGTTTAAATGAAAACTCTGGAATAGGTATAGATTTTATTGGTTTTGTCAGAGTTAAAGGCTGACTTTGATTGGACGCAAGCTGTAAGCACCAAGGATTACCAAGGGTCACAATAGCTATGAGTCTCTAGGATGTATGAAACACAATGTGTCACATCACAGTCTAAAGTTTAATGTGGCGCGAAATAAGAATTATTTATAGAAATGGTAGTTATTTAAAGGAATTATTACTTTAGTCTGCCACACAGTTTACTTATCTTCAGATACTTTACCTCCAAGCCACAACAACTGATAGTACAAGTAGCTCATTAATATTGTAAAACAGCATCCTAGCTTCCCAGTTAGCAACAGTCATGTTTAAGTATATCTAAGTGTAAGTGTATGTAAATATATGAAACATATGCTTACTGGCTAAAAACGTTACTACCTGGATTTAACTAATCAAAGAGATAAGAACTTTGCATTGGATAATCACTGCATGATTC